TCAAGCTTGTGGCACAGTATGTTTTCTATAATCCCATTTCTTTTTTTAATCACATGCAACCCCTTTTTTGTATTCTATTGATGTTAAAAAGAATGAATGCAGCCCTTGCGCTATTAAAAACAAAAAGCTTCTTACTTTCAGGAATGCATTGGCAAGACTCCACAAGAACAAGATTTAACTTTTGAGCATGGCAGTGGGCATACAAGGCTAATGGGTGGTCCTTAAAAAAAAAGAAGAAAAGAAAAACCTCTATAATTCATTCAATAGTACATTAATATTATCTTTTACCTTGTGGTCAATTAAATTCTTGCAAATCACTCAAGTGCAAGTCAAAATACATATGAGAAAATATGGAAGTGTCATTTTGCTTTTACAAACCGTCATTTAAATCTCTATTTAACTCATATGAGTTTTGCTAATCTGTGATTGTGTCTTCTGATTCATCAGCCAAACCTGAAATTAATTTGTTTTGCCTATATGTGAGAAAGGATTCACAAAAACATGTTATAATGAGTCTGTCTACTCTGTAAGTCAGTCAAACCAGCTGTGCTCTTTGATGAAGGAATTATAATTATAAAAATTTTCCTCAAATCCAGATCAGTTGTACTAAAAGTGTCTTGGCTAATTTTCCAACTAAATAGAAAGACACAAACCTTCCAGGGAGTTTCTTTAGTAGTCTTTTTTCTGTATCTATAAACCTTGCTTTGTTCCACCTTGTGAATGATGTCACCCCTTTATTTAGATGACTTAATATGCTGCTTAACTTGCCCTGTAGTCCAAGAACAGCTATGGGAATAACATTGTTCTGTAGCTACTTCCCCATTTGAAAAACCTCTTAAAGCTGTTATCCATCTGCATTTCGCTCATCGTGTGTGAAACATCTATACAGAAAACAGTAAGCTCTCTGTTTCTTACAGCTATATGCCAGACTACAAACCAATTTATACTCCAGCAGAATTAACCCCTCCTTTTATTTCTCCTTCTCTCTGTTTGTTGTTTAGGTTTTTTGTGGTTTGTTTTTTTTGTGGGGTTGGGATTTTTTTTTGTTTGGTTGTTTTGGGGGGGATTTTTTAAATCACAAGCTGTAAAAACCAGTTTGGTGTGATAGCTTGAAAGAATCCTCCATCTTTATCTCCTAGATGTCTGGATGGAGAACTACATCTTTTTTTTAAAATTACTGACTTGATCAGTCACAACTATCTATCTATTTATTATTTGAAGATGATTGGTGAAATTATCAGTTATATATATATATATAAGTTATATATATAACTTTAAATATATATATAGATGGTTATATACCAGTTTCTAAAAAAAAATAATAATTACAAGTTTGGGGGGTTTATTTTAGTTCTAATTATCTCCAGCCTCATTTCTTATAATTCATGAACAAGTCTAAGAGACTTAAGGCAAGGGAGAATGTTTTCCCAAATGCAGTGCCTCAACACCATTGCAGGTTTCCCCCACAATATAAACTGGATTTAATTTGCCTTGTAACAAAGTAGATTTTTATCTCTAGTTATAGTCACTTCCATTTGGCATTCTTTTTTTTAAGATGTCCCTCTGATACTGTGTTAAACACTGCATCAGAAATAGAATAGGGGAATTCCAAGGGAAGAACTATTACTGTGCAGACTAACAGCCTAGTGACAGCCAGAGAAAACCAGCTACACAGGACATTTAGCACTAGCTTGAACTAAATGCCAGTTACTAGCAAAGGAATAAGGTTGTTTTGACAGAGAAATAGGGAACCAGAAGCTCCTAGTATTGTCCTCCTATTATTACATTCTAGAATCTGGGTCCTGATTTTCTCACATATTTGAGTGGTACAAAGGGAAGAAGCTAAACTGGAGCTGAATGAAATCTGATCACAAATATTTCAGCATGAGGTAAACAGTTGGTTCAGTGCATTCTTCTCACAACTCACTGTGCTCTCACTATAGGAAGCTATAGAAGCCACAGAAAATATGACAAATATAGTTGCACTGTACCATACTGCAGGTGGTTTCAGAATGAAACCAGCACTCCTCTCAGGCTAAGGCAGCCTATACATAGTCATAGACCTGTTCACTCTAATTCTCAAATGATGAAGAAGCTCTAATCATCTAGGGCAAGAAAATGTAATCCTAGTAGCAGGAGGGTCTAAAACTTACACATTATTTTAATGAAGAAGTAGTGTGAAACTTCAATAAGACATTTGTCCTTCCAAAGCAAGATACAAAATATCAAGCCAAATTAATTAAAGCTAGTACTGAAGAACTCTTTCAATTGCCTAAATAAATCTCTCTCAGAAAAGCTCCAACATACCCAACGAAGCGAGGAAACTTCTGATGAAGGTGTCATAGGAGGTAAATTGACTGAAGACTAATCAGAGCAAAGCATTTAAAAAAATACAGCAAGGTGAAAGAAATAGATTATGCAAATGCAAGTGTAAAATTAAACTTTTTGTCTGAGCCAAGAAGCACATATTCCAACATTTGGAACCTTGCCAATTAGATTTCAGGTAAAAAGTCATATTTCTCCCAAAGACAGCCAAAATACCTTCAGCAAATCTAATCTGGTAATCGGATTTGACAAGCCCTATTATCTACAGAACACCCACTGCCATTAATAGCTCCATTCATTTGAAATCACTTTGTACAACTGAAAAATGTGTAAAATTAAGAAAGACACCTGTTTAATTGTAACAAAAAATATGCATAACAACCTATATTGACTTATTTTTCAATTATACTCAAACATGCCTACAATCAAATCTCATGGTATTAATACACACACTGTACAGCACACAAGACTACTTAAAAAACAGAATATGAAAGTATAAAAATATAATTTCTAAATCAAATAAATACACTAATAGCTTTAATATTTTGACCTTTCATTAAATACTAGGCTTTGTCACTACAATGGAAATAAATGCCAACACTGAGAAACTTCCAGAGAGATGACTAAAATACTTAGATTGTAATTTTATAGCACAGTATTTTGAATGGCTATATCACTGAGTAACAGAAAATCTAATTGTTCTCAAAACCAAATCTAATTGCTCTTGAAACCAAATAGGAAAAAAACTCTGTCTTCCTGTTCTTGAAACCATTTGCTTCTTGCAACTCTCTGTACCCACTACTTCAGCTGCAAGAAGGCTCTGGACAAAACCCCTGTGAAGGTACTGGAGAGAGAGCTAACTGTACTCTGTCTTGAAGTAAGAGAGGAAAGGCGTCCTAAGACTCAGAAAGAAGGAAGGAATGCTCCAAAAGAATAGATAGACTAACGTTACCACCCTGAAGAATTAATGCTACTTTCCTCACTAGTAAATACAACAGCAACACCCATTTGTCTCTTTTGACTTCCCTTGCTCCTGATGAGATGGTATAGAATAGGGAATAAAATGAAGGTGTATGGGCAAAATAAAGCACTGTTTTGCATTCTCTCATATAAGTGAAGTGGCAAAAGGGATTTTATGAGATCATTCTCTCACAGCTCATATTTTAGATGGCAGTCATACAGTACAGGCATTTAGAGGACAATAGCAATAGCCAAGGTTGCTAGGTTTGGCTCAAGATCTGAGCCGTTTGCTCCCTGGTGTGCAGGATTGAGAGAACATATAGTATCTTGGCACCTGCTGTTAGCGGCTACTTTAGGGAATTCAAAATTTAATTAACCTTCATAGTAATCCATATGTTATTGTAAGTTCAGAAAGACCATGTAGAAAACTTAACATTTCTATATTCCTTACCTTTCGACTTGTTAATACCTGGACAATGGATGCCAGGTAAAAAAAACAAGTGCCACACTTTCATGTAGTTAGTTGTTTGAAGACGTTTTACAACATAAGCAATTTGTTTGCGGTGAATTGGGAAAAATCCCATGACTAGCATGTTTGCTCTTTCCTTAAAGGATAAGGCCACACTGCTGAAAGCAAAACTCTCTAGAATTGCAAGGCCATCCAGTACTCTGACAGTACTGTGAGCTGAAGTTCCCTGAGGCTCCACAAACCTGCTAAAGAGATGCTATTTCATGGGTGATTCAGTATGCCTGTAGTTAACGCTCCCAGAGCCTCAGAAAATGTTTTGAAGCTCCTCTGCCTGCATAAGCGCTTTATAAAACTAGTAATTTACAAGCAAAATGGGGAAAAAAGTAGAAACGTAGGGTGGCATATGGCCAAACTTTTGACTTAATTTCACCACAGGTTGCTTTTTATTTACAAGCAGCTAATCCCCTCTCAAACTACACAATGGAGAAGCCATTGGCAAAGGCTGGCAGATAAAATTGGCATGCCTCTGTATTGTTCTTGCTAATCTGAACCATTAACAGAAGGGTGAGAAGGCTAGTTTTGTCATTTAAACAGGCTTAAATCCTTTCTCCAAATGAGCTTTTGTCTACATAGAAGAATTCATCCAGGAAATTTAAAGGGTTTCTGTTAGTGTTGCATTCTCAAGTTGACTAGTCTACAGGAATACCAACCTGTTTATTTGGCTTCCGTACTGTAAATACAAGAATTATTGCCAGCTGTCAAAACCAAAAGGGGTTCAACTTGATTAAATTATTTCTCAGAGGTGAAACAGGATGAGATTATAAAGTGCTAAGAAGCAACTATTTAAAATCCTGGACTGCACCTGTGCAACTAAATCTCCATTTATACAGGTGCTTTTCAAATTGGATTTGAACCTTTAAATTCCCTGATTCATCCACTGAAAAACCACAGAAGCTCAAATAACTAATGAAATTCAGAGACAGAAAGGCTTAAAATGGTTTCAAGCTGTGAAGTAAGGCCTAAGACTAACTATGTTCTTTGATTCATTGTTGATGTGACATATCAAGCATAAACATAAGTTGCACAATTCAAATGCAGAGGTCATAGTGTAGCCAGTAGCTAAGCAATTATTTTTTCTTTAGCACAGGAGAGGTCATCACCTGGCCCATAAACACAACACATAACTGAAAATCTGGGGAAAATAATGTATTGGTTAGCATGATCTGGTTTTTTTTTTTCTTTTTACCTGGCACATCTTGCGCAGATATTCAGTGTAACCTTTGCTTGAGGCTCAGCCGTATGAGCACTTCGAGTCGGATTGAATTTGTTCCCAGAAGACATCACACTTGTTACTCCTTCCATTCTGAGATCATCAAGATCCTCTGCAACAAGACAGAACAATGAGATGAACATGATTAAATTTTGTAGGTTAAATAAAGGAGCTTCACCTGTAGAATCACTAAAAAATGGAACTGCGAAAAAGTCAGGAAGAAAATACACACAGTTACTTGCATATTAATAGGAAATGACATTTGAGAGTATTTTTTATATTATCACCCTATTACAAGGAGTTCCCTTCACTTCAAACAGTGCTGCATATTTTTTCAATCTTTATTTGTCTGATTCATTTCTAAAAAATCTATCATGAAGAGATGATGTCAAATAGCTCTATTTGACAAAGGACATATTGAAGACAAAAATATTTTTTTGAGTGTATGCTCCTCCTCTGTTGTTTTTTCATCAACTATTCACTTAGCAATGAAAAAACATTCTTAAAATAAAAGTGCTCTGCTAGACCCAGAAAATGTGAAATGGACACACATTGAAAGAGACCAAAATATGCATACTTAAATCCTCCATATCACTGTAATATGGGCAACTCATAATAATAACTGGATTTTCTACTACTGTAAAATCATTCCCATTTTGCAGGAAGACAGCTGAGGATCTTAGAGAATTTTTTTCCCAAGATGACACTGGAGTAATGTAGATCAGTTAGACTGTAAATGATAATCTGTATATCTTTTGCTAACACAAAATAGGCAAGTTCTCTTGCCTAATGTATTCATAAAGCCCAATTTTCAGTTGTTTATAACTTGATTAGGGTCTAGCTGAAGGGTAATCAAGCAAAACACTGACTAGCTGCTATTAAATGACCACGTACTGACTGATGCATGTGGCTTATGGTACACAGTATGTGATCATCTAATTAAAATGTCCTTCAAATAATGTATGCATACACATGTATTTTCATATATTTCATTTTACAAAAGAAACCTGATGTTAATGGATCTGAGTGAAGCAGAAAATACAAAAAGGCAGATTTTAAATCCCAATATCAGATGCGTAAAAGTCATAGAGAATTTAAAATCAGAAGAGGCACCATTCAATTAGAATTTAAAATATACACGTAATCATTAGAGACACACAGTGGAGTACCAAGCTCCTTTTCGTACACAAAAGAATGAGATACAACCCCCCGAATCTTTACCTGAAATATTTTTGGTTGTCCTATGTAGCTCCTAAAGCTACTCTTACCGCTGTGCTTGGAACTCAAGGCAGTATGGTCAGATTGTCGAGACTTTGCCATGTTAAACAACACTGTAGGGAGATATCTATTTTAATAAGCAACATTCAATAACAGCTAGGCTAAACGTAAATGAAAGTTTTGTGACTAAAGTCCTTGAACTACATTTTCTTCTCTGTAATGTTTTATTTTACTGCTTAAGAAAACTGTCTTTCCACTCCCCTCTCCCTCCTCTAGGTAATTTGTTGCCTCGATATAAATTGACCACTGCAAAGAAGTTCCTGGCACCATTTTGCACTGTTTCAACAGCTTTTCCTTTAAATTTCATATATGGTTAATACACAAACTAATTCAAAGGACCTGGAAGGTTATATGATAAAGAGCTATGAAATCAATCATCTATGAGTCATTTCAGAAAAGGTATTACATATTTGGAACACATTATGTATTAAAATAAATAGAGTTTAATTGTGCTTTAAAGAGGTGTGAAAAGTTCCATATTTCTTAACAGATGTAAACCACTGTATGGATTACAGTTTAAAAGAAATTGAAGCATATGCCTCAGGTTTTTCTCCCCCTAAACAGATGTCATTTCTTTAAATGAGGTTTTCAACTGTTCTCTGCTTGATTAACTTGTGGCTTTCTGATAACTGTTTCAACAGAGCAAGGATATAGGCTGCCCTCCATCATTCCTTTTACATTTGAATTTGTATATCAAAACCATGCCTTTTTTTATTTTTAGTCAACTACCAGCATTTTTCTGTCAAGCAACTTTGTGCAAGAAATGTGGATTCAAGAGTTGCCTATAGTTGTAGCTTACAGGCAAGTAGGCAGAATAGTATACAGTATTGATTTATTGTCACATGCTGTTAGACAAATAGCAGTATGTGCATACAAAAATGCAGATTTAAAATATCAAAAAGGTACATCATATACAATTGATACTTTTTCTCAAGGAATTTTCGTTGATCTAATTCAGTATTGGATGGAATTTGTCAAATTGGCAAAAAGCTGTTAGTATTACAACTAGACAGAGAGGTATAACCTCATCTACCAAATCCAAAGAATAACTGCAGCATTTGATTTAACTTGGATTACTGCACCTCCACATCAGTATTGAACGATTTCAGTTTCTTCTGGATGCCTCAAATTTACAGGTATTCCACTTTCTTCTCACTAAAGTAACTGGGCTTTGAGAAGCTGCCTGGTTTGAAATACCCACAAATTTGGATGGGGATTTTTGAGTTGTAAGCAAGTTTATATGCCATCTGGCAATCTTCCTGATTGACCACATTAATTAAATGGTCCTTAATTAAAAAAAACCCAAAACACCCCCAAAAATTAATAACAAAAAAAACCCCACCATACAGTAACTTTAGTACTAAACTCTGTATGTGTTGATCAATAGTTCATGTGTGCTTTGTAGAACAATATTTGAACACAAATAAGAATGTTATTAAAATAAATACAAGCAACGAGTGCAATAATGTATTCTAAGAATTAAAAAAAAAAAAGGTTTCCAAAGGTTCAGATGTTTCCATGTAACATCAAAAAGAACCAGCCTTAGCAATAAAAAGGGTTTCTTTGAGAAGTCAATTCAGTTACAGGTTTTGGACACTGAATCTTTTCTCTTTCTTTGTATTCTCTGCTAGACCAACTAGTGAGGATACAGCTGAGTGGTTCAGTGATTTTATTGAGCAGCAATGAGGTAATTCACTGAGAAAGGAGAGAAAGAAAAGCCAAGCTGATGACTGCTTATGTCATGGAAGACAAGAATACTGTGAAACTTCTCAAATCCTTAGAAAATTAGTACCTATCTTTGTACAGAAATAGGCTGGAAGTTCACATAAGTGAACTTGTGCTAATAAAAGTTTGTTATTTTAATGCATGACTGTGCAATGTATTTCTTTGATTTAATGTATTTCTTTGATTCTCTGCTATTCTCTAAATGAATAGGGAATGTGTAGACCCAGCTTTGGTCCCATAGCAGTTTTTATGGTAAAAAAAACTCTACCTACAAACCAAATGAAAAAAATTTACATTTTTCTCAAATCAGCAATTATCCAAAATAAATTCACACAGCTGCAATCTTCATGCATTGCCATAACAATAGACAAAAATACTTTAAAGTGAGATAAAGATCACAAGTATAATACAGCATAGCACAGAAACAGATGTTTTCTATATTAATAATAATGCTGCACTAAGCTGAATTCTTTGTGATTTTTTTATAGACAAGTTTCATTAAAAATTTTATTTCAACTAAACAAGAATATAGCTCAGTAACAAGGTAATGTTTTTAAAATAGAATGTTGTTCACAATTATTTACTTCCTTTCTATCCGGGAAGGAAGGGAGAGGGGGACGGAAAGGGGCACTAGCACCAAGTATTCTAGAAACAACGTAAGATTGCTTAATGCCTTGGGATGACAGGGTGTGGAAACATATTACAAACATTTACAAGACTCACACACCATTCACTTTAAGGATACAGCTTTTCTTATGCAAAACTCCTATAAAATACAGTGAAAGTTTAGTTGTATAGAAGGTTCACATAATTAGGTCATGTGTTACATATTTTTCTATGATTCAGTCATTTTTGTCTCCTTCCTCCTTTATAAAACATAGTAATTTCCCAGGAGTACTTCAAGATGTATAAGGTGCAAAGCTGGAAAAGTCTATGACAACTCAGTTTGTCTGTTCTGTCTAACACTAAGAAAAGCACTAGATGTTTTCATGTAAGAACAAAAATTCGGATAATGAATTCTGACTTGTGTTCTTGCAGGCCACCAGGAAATTCTGATGCATCAGGAAAATAATGCCTCCTCCTTTGAAGCAATGAATTTCTCAAGGTAGTGTTCTTACATCATGGTAGACATAGTCGTACTCCGTGTACATAGTATTGATTTGTAAAGGTCTGTTGACTGACACACAGACTCTTAATATGCTCTCATTAAAAAGAAAAAAAACCCACAAACCAAAAACAAACAAAAAACCACCAACCAACCAATTACAAACCAAACAAACATAGATTCAATCCCAAAAAATCAAGCCAACAAATCCTACTGCTGATAGCAGTTCTGCTTGTGTTCCAGGAATCTCAGCTGCTTTATATGTCATACTTTTATGCGTCTTAACATATTAACCAATCCTTTCTGGTTTAGATAAATTATCTTGCCAATATCAAGAGAGTCCAATAAAAAACCCACATTAATTACAAAAGAAATGTTGAGACAAGCAGGAATTAGGCTTCCAGATAAGGAAGAACCATTAGCCTAGAATACCTGATACTCCACTCCTGAAAAGGATACTTTAAATATTTGCTTCAACAGATGCAAAACTAGAGCTAGCTTCTGCAGGAAGCTAGCTACAGGACATCTCATTTTGTTTATTCAGTGTCATGGAGTACACAATGCTACATGTTCTGGTACATGTTCTAATATGTCTTCCTATTAACATCTTCAAATACCAGACTTTGGACCAGTTTAGACCCATGCCATAGACTTTTGGTACAAATATCACTCTAAGTAAACTGGAGACTTTCACTCTTTAGAGGTATTTAAATTTCTGAACACAATGTTCGGAAGACATTTTACTTGAGAAGCATCTCAAGTTGACAATAAATTCCCTAAATGTGCTTTCACTGATGGACTCACGCAAAACCAATTGAAATATGATGCCACTAAGTACTTGAGTTTGAATGTCCACCTTTACCTGTATCATTTGTCAGAGGATAATCCCACTCCACAGTCTAAAAACCACAAAACCAACATAGGGGCGGAGAGGCTCAGGAACACATGCAAACGACCAATATGATCAAGCAAAATGTCCCATTTATTATTTAAATGAGTTAACT